CGGCGGAGAGGCGCCTCCTCCCGCCCGCCGTGCGTGGGGCCTGCAAGGGCTGCCGGTCCCTCGCCCGGCGTTTGGCACCGATGGCCTGAAAATGCGTTGGTTGCCCTGTGCTGTGGTGCTGGGCCAGCTCCTGCCGTTTGCTGAGATCAGAAATACTCGAGATACCTTTTTCTTTTCCCCGCCTCTGTGTCCAGTTTTGGGCCCCTCACTACAAGAAGGACGTTGCGTTGCTGGAGCACGTCCAGAGAAGGGCAAGAAAGCTGGTGAGGGGTCTGGAGCACAGGTCCTGTGAGGAGCGATGGAGGGAACTGGGGTTGTTCAGCCTGGAGAAGAGGAGGCTGAGGGGAGACCTGATCGCCCTCTGCAACTGCCTGACAGCAGAATGTAGCCAGGTGGGGGTTGGTCTCTTCTCCCAGGCAACAACTGATAGGACGGGGGGAAATGGCCTCAAGTTGCACCAGGGCAGCTTTAGGCTGGACATTAGGAAAAATGTCTTCACCGAAAGGGTTGTCAAGCATTGGAACGGGCTGCCCAGGGAAGTGGTGGACTCCCCATCCCTGGAGGTATTTAAAAGACGGGCAGACGAGGTGCTTAGGGACGTGGTTTAGTGGTGGGATGGCAGGGTTAGGTTAACGGTTGGACTTGATGATCTTAAAGGTCGTTTCCTACCTAAACGATTCTATGATTCTATGATTAAATTGCCATTATTGTCCCGGAGGCTTCACTGTCAGTGCGGTTTAATCCCCTGTCGGCATGCTTTCCCTAGGAAGGCTTAGTCAGAGCCTGCTTTTATCGTTTGCCTCTATTAGGTGCATCAATTTAAGCTCTGTGTACACAAAGTTCAAAATTGATTAAAGTTGAAAAGCATACATTCTACATTTTAATACTATTTTCTTTTTCCCATGACAAATAGAAAATTTAATTTCTCTGTAGTCTGGGGAAATCGTCATTCAGAAAGCTAGATTGCACAAACTCCTGTTCATCAGAAAGCCTGAGCGCACCAGACATCTGGCAGTTAGGAAACTGAACTTAATGCCTCCATTTTAGGCAGGCAAAGGGATGTGATATCTTAACACCATCAAAATGTTAATTAAGAGACATCTGCCTCGCTGTGCAGGTACAATGGCAGACATCTTTCTGCCAGGGACCACTGTATCGCCAGGAAAACCTGCAGCTGCCTGCCAGTTAGTTCACTGTAATCAGTCGGACTGCTCTAAGGTCATGTAAGCAAACATCCACCTGTCGTGTTGGTCTTTTTGCTACCAAATGGGCATGGGAAACATCTGCTTCCAAGCAGGTTAGTTAGTGTTCAGAGAAACTGAGCAATAATGCGTTTAATTACTATTCTAGAAATTGAAATGCTTAAATGGGAAGATATTTTTAAGTGGCTACAGGATGAAAAGTGGGAAGAACAGGTGATTGAGAGTATCTTCCATGGGATATGACTGTGCTGTTGACAGTATTTTTCTGTCACTAAATCCTTCTTTCCAACTGTCTTCAAGGCACAGCTGTGCGTGCTGATGAGTATCACGGATACACAAGGATACATGCCTTATTCTATGAGCTAAATGATAAGTTGCATTCATTGGCTTTTATTCAACTTCAGTCCTGTGGCTGATGTATTCCCACACTGATGTGGTGTCTCCGTTCCTCTGTCTAACTTCATGGTTTCATTATTTAAAAAATCAGACAAAACCACCCTGCAAGACTCCAAAGTAAAACCTTATTAGATGATTTTTTCCCTTTTTCTTGTTCTTCAAAATTAACTGCCCAAAGACAGGCAGTTATTCCTTATTAAGGAGAGTTTGCCAGCACATCTCACAGTGGAACCATCAGCTAGAATGTGGAACCTGCAATGGTGACAGCTGCTATTGCAGAATGGAGATAAAAAGGAGAAACAAGTAGAGGAGAGCTTGAACTAGTCATCATTTTGAACTCAGTGCAAAGTAAGATATAACCCAGAGCAGGGTGTTAAATAGCATTGTGATGAGATCATCCCGCACTCTTCATTTGGTAAATCGTATCACCACAGACAAGCTGTAATGCGATTGGTATGGTAAAATATGTTTAGAAGGCTGGCTAGCAGGCAAAACAGCAGCACAGATTTCTGCTTCATTGTGCAGAAGATAGCATTAATTGTATGATAAACGACTTGCAGTACCATTCTGTAAATTGTAGTTCACTTCTGTGCAATTCTTTTAAAGTTTCTTTTTAATAAATTTTAAACGTTAAAAGTAATGCCTGTAAGAATACTCTAGCAGTGCAGAGAAGTATAATTTTTTCAACCTGTTCTTCAAAGTTTTGTCAGTATCTTACCTATAATAAAATTCACCATTTTCCTTCTAAGTTCAGTTATGTTACTATTCCCATGAGCAATCTGTAGAGTGGATTTTTTTTGAAAATAAGCCTAAGGGTCTTACTGGTCTGTGGGACCTGGGGCTCGCTGCTCCTGGCTGCTGAAGCCCACCCCTGAACACTCTTTGGACCCAGGAGGGCTCTTAGGCTCGCATGTGTCCTGGACAAGCGTCTGCACGTGCACACACATACACACACAGGACATATATAATGTAAGGGCAGTGGACCGCTGCCTGCCCACCTGTGAGCCCCGCTCCTCCCTGTTTTCCTACGTGTCCCCCTAGCTCCACCCCGATCCTTCTTTTCCCCGCCTTTGGCCAGTTCTGTGAGCATCCCATAGTAAGTTTTTTGCATAAGCCCACAAGCTCCTGCTGATAACCCATAAAAAGTTTTGCCCAGTCCCACATGCCCCCTTCAAATATGTTGTAAAACTCACAATAATCGCGTTTTCCCCATCTTAGCAGCGTTTGTCGTGGGTTGATTGTCTTCAGGGTGGCTTCCTTGGTAGCGCCTTTAATGGCCCAAAGAGTTCCTTCCGCTCTTCACTGTTGTCTGTCTTACCACCTGCTCATTCAGCGATTTTTGTGTGTCTCTCTGTGTTTAATCTATCACTTTCCTTCTTATTTCTTACTTCTTTTATATTGAATAATCCTTAACCAGATGACTTAACCCAACGCTCTCACATTCCACATACCCGAACAGAAACTGTCTGTAGCACAGCAAAGCTCGCTGTAAAGCTCAGAGGAAGATGCATTCTTGCGATTACTTGCTATTATATTTTTAATTGAGAAGTTCCATCAGTTATCTGGCTGCAGTGCTAAAAGACTTCGAAGGTTTTCTTTTTTAAGTTAACATTTTATTGAAGAACTAACAAATCCCTTGCAATAATCAGTAGACTGCCTACCAGCAGCTTTGTGGAGGTGAACAGTTGAAGGAGGAGGGTGGAAGGTGTTGAAGCACTACTTTTGTTAACGTGACTTGGCTTTGCAAAGACAGGAAACAGAATTTGAAGTGAGGAACTTCTTTTTCTGAAACACAAGTTCCTGGTCGCTGCTGGACAGGATGCTGGTCTAGAGTATGGTTCTGATCTAGCAAAACAGTTCCCATGACTTTATCGATAATATTAATACCTTATGGGTAAATAGACAGTATTTATGAAAATAAGGCGTCACACCGAAGGAGACTTTCTGTACATCCAAAGTAAGTTCATACTGAACTTACCAAACCTGAGGAACAATGGGCGTCATAGGAAGCCCGGCGTCGCCTGCCGCACAAAACTTGCTCCAGCAGAGCCCTGGCTCTGTGCAGAGACGGCTGTCTCCTGGCGTCCATGAGTTCAGCTCTGATGTTGAGATGCTAGGTAATGCAGTAGTAGAATTAAAGAACATAACATTGCTGTGACGTGTGGATTACTTGAACTGAAAGCTGTTCTTTATCAAAAGAGCTTTGATGTTGGCCTAAAAAAGATTTTCCTTAATAGCTGGCACTTGGCAAATGCTTGTAGCTTGGCGCAAAAAAGATCTCAGCTCCTGATTCTTTCAAACTTGTCCTGTGTCAGACCTTTTTAATCTGAATATGCTGCTTTTTGGCAAATGTTGTGCTCTGTGGTTGTGTCCAATAAGTCTTAGCATCAGACATGCTTAAATATGAAAAATTAACTGATTTACAAAAAAAGAAAAGGGTAGGGTTTTCAATTAGAACATTTGGAAACAAAACTATAATAAATAAACACAGGACAATAAAGCATTGTTGGAGTGCATCTGAAAATATTTTCCTAGGTGTATTTTTGAATTTTTGTGAGGTACGTACAGGCCATAGAGTAAGATTCAGCAGCATTCAATATGCTACATTATATTTGTCAGAATGTTTATTATTCATGTCTGGCTCCTCCTTTCATCGCCTTGGGGCTGGTT